GGGATTTTCGCTCTGAAGGAAGTCCCCCAGGGAACCACACAAAGCCAGAAGGGCATCCTGGCTTCTGGGGCCAGGGAGGGATGTGCCAGCACTGCTGGAAGGGACACAGGGGACACACGGGGCAAGGGATGCTCACGCTTTGAATTTTGAAAGGTGGCAGATAAAGCAGAGCGTGATTGAGGGGGGATCTTCCCTGAGGGAGAGGTGAGCCTCTCTTTTATGCCTCCAGCTGGGAAAAACTCCTGGAAAATCCGAATTTGCAGGCAGCTGCGAGCGTGGCGGAGCCATCGGCAGAGGGCAGTGACACTCGCAGGCACAGCTCAGCCCTGGCAGCCTTCAATCCATCCATCCATCCATCCCTGTCACAGCAAGGACACCTTCCCCACCCCGCCCAAACCAAACCAAACGCGCCTTAATCCTTGAAAATCAGACTCCAAGCGATGCTGCAGACCCGATAGCTTGCCGCTTTATGGTTTGGGCGTTTTTTTTTTTTTTTTTGGTTTTTTTCCCCCCCCCTCTCTTCCCAAATCCCACGTGATATTTTTCTCTGCGCTTCAAAGCCGGGGTTTGTTTGTTTTTTCAAGCCCGAGAGCTCCAATTGCAGCATCTGCGTGGAAGCCGACAGGAAATAACCCGTGGGCTCAGGAGTAGTTGAGAGAACATGCAAGGGCAATATTTATCTTTCTTTTCCGTGGCTCGGAGCGCAGACACGCAAGGCTCCCGCTCCTGCCTCCCACCGCAGCCCGCCTGGATCACAGGGAGGAGCCGCAGGGTTTTGGGGAGGGCTGGGAGAGATGCCAGGGCAGAACGGCCGTGAGGGGAGAGGTTTGGAACAAAACAGCCAGGATGGGATGAGGAGAATGGGGATCAGCATTTCCCGATGATCAGCATCGCGAAATTTGGTGTGATAGGACAAGGAGGGTCTCCAAAGGAGGTGGGGTGAAAAGCACAGAGATCCCACTTTGAACACCCTTTGTCAGGTTTTATGTTCATCCATGCACAGAGGGGGCTTTCAGACTGGATCTCCCTGGGAAGGCAGTTCAGTCCCAAAAAGAGGGAAAGCTGTTTTGGCACCGGAGGAAAGGCTGCCCATCCCAGCTGACTCACACCCCACACAGCAGCGGGTCCGTCTCTGGCTTTAAGGGTAATTCGGGGAGAAGGTTTGGGATTTCCAGGCTGGATTTCTGGCAGAAGTGTTGAGATTTAAGCCACATTTAGGAGGTTTAAAATGTCAAACCTGTCATTAAATGGGCAGAGGATTTTGCAAGTGTTGAACAGCCTCCAAAAGTCTCTGAAATGTGATGGGGGAAAGCTCTGTGAAGGTCCCTGTGGAGTTCTGTGGGCTGGGAGCACTGGGCATTTGATGGATCTGGGTAACTCAACTGGTCTTTAATCCAGCAGCATCCCAAATAAATCTCCTCCTTTTCCATGGCAGAGATTGTCATTCCTGTTGTCTCTGTGGATGGACACAGAAGTGAATAATCTCCTTTCACACTGGACTCTGTCACCTGCCTCACACTGAATTATTTCAGTTAATTTTTATAGGCTTTTGGCCATTCTGTGTTGCATGGAGTGAAACTCACAGGAAGGAATTATTTGTGATAGTTAGGATATGATAAATCAATCCTGTGATAAAGGGTTTAGCTACAATGGCTCTGAGGTGCTGCTTGGAGGGAAAGAGGTACTTAAGCCAAGTCCAAGTTTAACAGGATTGAGGAAATCCAGAGAGGAGAATTCAGATCTTAAAACAGCAGGGAAAACTGAGGTGTTGAAGGGCTGGACCCTCTCTCAGTCCTCAGCTGACTGCAACATCCAACAGCAGCCTCTGCACGCTCTGAAAACACAAAAAGAGGAAAATGAGTTATTGCTTACTGATTACTCCAGCAAGGAATCTTCCCCAGCTGTGCCAAGCATGCACAAAGAGAATTTTCGGGGAGAACAGGCAGGAAATGGGATGATCTGGGATGAAATGAGGAGTTCTGTGCTCGCACGAGGAGCAGGGCAGCACAGGCACTCCAGAATGATCTTCACTCCCAACCACTGCCTGGACAGGTGGTAACTGGAGCTCTCACTCAGTTGATTTATCTCCCTGAAAGCAGTTCCTGGCTCTGCCCCTGCACAGCCAGGAATTCTTGGTGACAGAATTATGTCACGCCCCTTTTGGTTTCCCCAGGCTTCACCCAAAGCCACTCTTATCAGAGAAAAGGCTCCCAGTTCATCTAGTACCATTCAGGTTAGGCTTTGTTCTGCTATCTGGCATCAAAGACAAAAAATTTCTGTCTGTAAACAACACAATCACTCTTTTGCAACAAAATTCTCATTCAAACATTTATTTACACTCAGTCTTAGACGTGGTTCCCAAGCAGAAAGTTTCAACCTGCTTCACCTTGCTAGAGAAACCTGACTTTGAGCACAGCTTGGTGATTTCAGGATGGATAAAAACATCAATATAAGCAGAAAGGCCACCAAAGAAGTCATCATGCCCATGTCAACGGCCTGGCCTGGGGTAGAACTCAAGGCAGACCCTTCCTAAGGGAGTGAGAGCACTTCCTCTGTTTTCCACCGTCCCTTCCTCCCACGGACAATGCCGGGCACGGCAGGAAAAGGAAGCACATATGGTTTGCACTCCATGAGGGATCTGTGCAAGGAAAGGACACACAGAGAGGCTCTGGGGCTGTCAAGGACCCTCTCACAGCAGGAGCTGCAGCAGAAGCAGGGCTGTGTCTCTTTACAATAAATGGCATTATGCAGCCCCAGCCAGTGCTCCCTGCCTGCTGACTCCTGCATTTCACTGGGGCTCCAATAAACGCGGTCCATGGCCTGTGATATTCCACAGGGAAATAAAAAAGGATAAACTACCAGCGTTTGGAATGTTTGTGGTGCAGCAGTTCGTCTTAGCAAGGTGCATAATGAGATTTCCAATAAAACATCACCCAGAGGAACCAGACTTTTTCTCTTCTGTGATACCAGCACAAGTGGTCACACAACTCATGTGAGAGCCCACATTTGGACATCTGCACATCCCATAAAGATCAGCTCCAGACAAAATGCAGTTTTGCCTTTTAAAAGCATCGATGTTGGGTCTTTTGTTTATCTGCAGGACAGCAACGTTGCACTTGTGAAAACAAAACCCACGGTCCATCTTCCAAGATTACCATCACATAAAAACCAAGCCTGGATTCATTCACCGCCTGCCTGGGGCTGCATTTAAAAATGTTATTCCTGGCTTGTCCCAGTTAAAGATCTTCACCCGTGTCATTTATCCAGCTGATGCACAGTCTGGCTACTGGGCTACCACAGCCAAACAGCCGAGTCTCATGGAAAAACACCACAAAAAACAAAAATTGTGTCCACCCAATGACGTCCATGCAAACCTGCACCCACAACCCTGGTAGAAAATGTGCATTGCTATGTTTCCATCAGCCAGAATCATGGTTTAAAATGGAGAGAGGGAATGTGGGGGCCAAAAAAATGATCATTTGGAGAGGTCTTTGGTGTCTCTTTTGTTTCCACACTGTATTTAAAGGCAATCTGGAGTCAGGTGCCAAACTGATGGGTTGGGCTGGTGGCAGCTCAGGCGAGCGCCGCTGCCAAAGCTTTATCAAGGTTTTGGCATCACCAGGCAGCCAAAGCTGTAGCGGGGTTTTGGCATCACCAGGCAGCCAAAGCTTTATCAAGGTTTTGGCATCACCAGGCAGCCAAAGCTTTATCGGGGTTTTGGCATCACCAGGCAGCCAAAGCTTTATCGGGGTTTTGGCATCACCAGGCAGCCAAAGCTGTAGCGGGGTTTTGGCATCACCAGGCAGCCAAAGCTTTATCAAGGTTTTGGCATCACCAGGCAGCCAAAGCTTTATCGGGGTTTTGGCATCACCAGGCAGCCAAAGCTGTAGCGGGGTTTTGGCATCACCAGGCAGCGGCAGCAGCTCGGGCTGCATCCCCGGGGCTCTTTGTCAGCCTAAAAACAACCCTGAGGAGGGAGAGCATCGCAGCCATTCCCGCTCCTACTCCACGGGCTTCTCGTGGCTGGAATGAGGTGCTTTGACACAAAAGGCAGGGAAATCTGCCCACGTGGTGAGCAGCAAACAGCACGGGCAGCACTGGGGGCCGGGGGACAGACTCAAAAGGCGGCGGCCATGAAGGACAGAATGAAGGAAGGAAGGTGCAAACACACGATTCGGGCTGTCAGGCTGCACCCTGAGCCTCCTTTCCAGCCTGTGGGGAGGACAGGAGCGCCAGGCCCAAACCCTTTAGCTCTGCGGGGTCGGCGGGAGCAGGGCGAGGCACAGCAGTGCCCGGAGCGGGGTCAGCGCCCCTCAGAGCCCCCCGGGCAGCGCCGGCCGCAGCCGCGACCCCTCCGCACGCGCGGGCGGCCACACAAAAGGGGCACATTTCCCCCCCCCTCTCCTATTTAAGGACTCCTTCACCAATCAGTGCCAGGGGCGGGGCTAAACAGGGAGGATTGACAAGCTCCCGAGACCCCGCTCCAGAGAGAGCGGAAAGGGGCGGGGAGAAGCGGCCGCAGCCAATCGGCACGGGCGAGCTGGCGGCTCGGCCAATCAGCGGCGCGGGGGGCGTGTCCCGCCGCGGGGTCAGGCCGGGAGCGAAGGCGCCCGTCGCTCCCTGTTCCTCCCGCTCCGCTCGCGGCCGAGCCTCCTCACCGCGGGATCCCTCCGCCTGCGCGCAGCGGCCGGCGGGGTGTGCGCGCCGCTCCGTGCCCCTCCGCCCGGGAGGGATTATTTCCCGCGGTCGCGGCGGCGGGGCGGCCCCGGCGGGGCCGGGGGATGGAGGCACCGGGCGCCCGCCGGAGGGACGGAGGAGCCGCCCCGTGAGGGAGGAACGGGAGCGCAGCGGCCTCCTCGGGGCCGCCGGCGGGCGGGGACCCCGCGGCCAGGCCGCGCCTCAGCGCTCGGGCCTGCGCCGCCCTCAGCGGGGCCCGGCCCGGCCCTGCCCGCCCGGGGCTGCCCCAGGCCGGGTGTGCGAGCCCCGGCCGGGGCGTGCTCGGCGCGGGGCACCATGGTGGAGAAGCGGTGCCCGCGGCTGCAGCGGGACGGCGTGTACCGCTGGTTCTCCGAGCTGCCCTCCCCGCAGCGCGTGGAGTTCCTGTGCGGCCTCCTGGACCTGTGCATCCCGCTGGAGCTGCGCTTCCTGGGCGCCTGCCTGGAGGACCTGGCCCGCAAGGATTATCACTCCCTGCGCGACTCCGAGATCAAGGCCAACAACCCCGCCGACCTGGGCAGCCTCACCAACCTGACGGACGAGGTGGTGCGCAGCAAACTGCTGGTGTCCCTCGCCCTGCTGGGCTCTGCCCACCGCGAGGCCGCCGGGGTCCTGTTCCGCACCCTCACCCACATCGACTCGGTCATCAACAACTACGGGCTGCAGCTCAACGAGGGCCGCACGGGGGATGAGTTCCTGTTGCTCTTCACCATGGCATCCAACCACCCGGCGTTCAGCTTCCACCAGAAGCAGGTGCTGAGGGAGGAGCTCACCCAGATCCAGAGTCTCATGGCCAGCACCAGCAAGAATCCCAGCACCTCTACCCTCAACACCATGGCAACCTATCCTGGCTGCCATAAGGTGGGTATCCTGCTTTCTGCGCGCTGGAATGGCACCGGGCTGTGCGTCCGGCTCTCATTTTAAACCGTGCTTTAGCACAGTGCTAAATGGCAGCTACAGAGGCATTGGATGATGATGGGGATGGTCAGCTGAGGGCACAGGGAGAGGACGGATGGAGTTTTTACGAGCTTGTGGCATTTAAATGAGAAGGGGGTGACGAGCAGATCACCAGCAGCAATATAAACCCTCCCTGATTGCCTCTCAGAGCATCTGCTGGGGGAACGGTCCTGCCAGCTGCGTGGAAAACCAGTGATGTATGAAGGGGAATAAAAGCATCTCCAGATAAAAGCATCTGTTTGAAAGTTCCCCCTGAAAAAGTTGGAAAGGAGGAGTAGCTGTCCAGTGTCCAAAGCAGCTTGGTGAGACTGGGATTTATTTAGAAGAATGTGATGGCAAACGTTTGGAGTTGCTGGTGTTGAGCTCAGAGAAATGTTGTCGTTTTGTGTCACTCTGCATCCCTCGGGTATTGATCCTGGTGTCGGGGTTCACCGTCATTAACTTGCTGTTCTTTCATTCAGTTAGGCCAGACAGGGATGTTTTAGGATGTGCTGGAAGTCATTAGATATGTGAATCCTTAATTGCTCTCAGCCCGCCACAAATTAGGGAGTCAGAGTGTCTGTGCCTGATTTTAACCCGCTTGAAAGTTCAACCTGAGCCCCAGCTTGGAGGGTGCCTGTGAGAAGTGAACAGGCTGCAGCCTTTGAGGGTGAGTGGATGATTTGTTACCCTGCTCTTGGGAAAGGTGAGGAATACCCAAAAGCTGTGAAAACGCCTGGATTGGAGTAATACCCTAAATAAAGCTGTTTGCCAGGGCTCAGTAGAGATTTCAGTAAGTTGAGTGTTGAATTCCAGCCTGAGACAGAAATCTGTGCAGAGTCTTGCCCTGAATACAAATTCCCTTCCCATTTCATGTTTCTTTAAACACCTCTGCTTTGTAAAATTGAGATGTGTTCAGCTTCATATTTTTCTTATCCCTTCTTTTCTATCTTGTTCCTAATCTCCTGTAGTAAGGGGGAAGGAACAAGGCATGGGAGAGCCTATTCATTCAGCTGAGACTCCATGTGGATAAAATATAGCTGGAAAGAATATTTCACCCAGGATGTAGAAGGATATAATTCAAACCAGAAAAAAAAAAAATCTTCTTTTCAGGTACTTCACTACTTGCAGCTCCCCTTATCCAAATGATGCAGCGACCCTGGCTTGGAAAGGAAACACTGTAAATCATATCCAAGATAAGACAAGCAAAAAATAGAGATAAAATCAGGCAGGCAGGTTTTTGAGAGTCTTCTTTCTGAGCTGCAGGATTTATGGAGCTGAGGAACTCCAGCACTATTTCTGTCAGTCTAAGATGGACGGAGAATCCATCCTGCCATTTTTCCTGCCAGGAATGAGGCAGCCAGGATCGTTTGATTTTTTTTTTCTTTTCTTCTGAGCTCACTGAAGGGTTGTCTCTTTGAAAAGCACATTTTTATAGATTCTGTGTTGAAGAATCTTGGTTGCTAAGTACAGAGTAGTGAGAGGGAACACAAAGGTGACTTTGCCTTCACAGTCTCTGAATGTGCATTTAGTTTGAAGTGGTGCACATTTCCTAAGGATTATTTTTTTTGTTGTTGTTCTTAACTGGGTAATTCTGTTACTTTCAGAGTGAGCAGTTGGCTTAAACCAGGAGTTGGATGAAGCAAGTGGAAAAAACAATCTCTCTCTCCATTCAGCCCTGTTCTGTTACGAACTATACACAAATAAATTCCAGCACCGAGTCCTTGAGGTGTTACCAAGTGATGTTGTGACAATCCTTGTGCTGTAACATCACCTGGATAAAAACAGTGTGGCTGTGGAGGGAAGCTGGGTGCCCTGGGCTGCTGCTTGGAATTGCAGAATTCCCTCCCTGGTGCCAGCACTTTCTCCTGGCTCCTGTTGCTTTGCTCCAGGGTTATCCATGCTGAGCTGATGCTGAGAGCTGGGTGTTAAATGGGGAATTCTGCTCCTCTCTGAGCTCATCCTTGAGGAGCTGGAGAGCCACACTTCATTATCTGAGGTCCTGAAAAACTTCAGGGAGCTGGGATGGTGTGGATGTGAGGGGGGTTGCAAACAGGGAGTGTTTGTGAACTGAGTTATCCTCAGCTTCCCCCCGGGGAGAGGGGAATTGGGTGTGACTCTTGTGTAACTGTACCTGCCCTGCTGCTACAATTTCTGATTCATGGTTAACTTGTTTAGTCAGGGAGATGCAACAGGAATCTGAGCAGTGCTCTTTGTTCTCCTTGCAGAAACCAATGGCAATGTGCTGCTTCTGCCTATTAAAATATGCCCCAACCTGATATTTGCAATAACTTTTTCCAGAGGTTTGGACCTTGCATTCCTTCTTCCATCTCCTCTTTCTTAGTGAAATATCTCAAAATCAAATTGTGTTTAACAGTTGATACAAATTTACTGTAACTATTTCATGATTCCTCAAGTAGCTCTGGGGTAGGTGGACACAGCTGAAGGTGGTCAGTGATACAAACTCCTTTTTGCTGTTTCCTTTTACTGCCTGCAGTTGCTGACTGTGAGATGGCTTAAAACAGCTGCCCATGTATTTTTTGTGCTTTTTCTTGTCTTATCTGAACCTTAACTTTGCAGGAAGAGGTGGCCGTGGCTGGCTTTAAGTAGGTCAGTAATTATTAGGTTGATGGTTTCTACCTGATGGTATGAAATGAACGTTTTATGAACAGGAGGGAAAATGCTGCCCTCTCTACATTGCCTTGGACTCAGTGAGGATGGAATTAAGGAATATCCTGAGTACAGCTCCTGGTGCTGCCCAGGACATCCCAGCAATCCCTCCTGGCTCTGCACAGCTCCTGCCAGGAGGGGACAGGGAACAGGGACAGGGACAGGAGCAGAGGGAACAGCTCAGGCTGGGCCAGGGCAGGCTCAGCTCGGACAGCAGCAGGAATTTGCCCATGGAAAGGGGGGTCAGGGGTGGGAACTGCCCAGGGAGGGTTGCAGTGCCCATCCCTGGAGGTGCCCCAGCGATTCCTGAGGTGGCACTCGGTGCTCTGGGTGGGGACAAGGTGGGGATGGGGCACAGGTTGGATTTGATCACCTTGGAGGTCTTTTCCAAGCTCAGTGGTTCTGTGATTCTCTGCTGGACTGGATGGCAGATGGGAACACAAGTCTGAGCTTGAATTCTGTGATCTACATGGATGCTGGGCATCTTAATATGAATCTCTGCATGGACTTTCCCTCTCAAGAACTCCACTGCCAGTAACTCTAAGGACAGAACTGCAGAGCTGGGGAAATTATTCATGAATCTGTCACTGTTTCCTGGAGTTCTTTCATCTCCTCATTGAGATCATGCTGTAGAACCAGGGAAATAAGAGAATGCTTTGGGTGCTCAGCACCTGCTCTGCTGTGACAAGAGCTCTTCAGTGCAGCCAGGGTGATGAGCTGCAGGTTTAGATCAGATATTAGGAAGGAATTCTTGGCTCTGAGGGCGGGCAGGCCCTGGCACAGGTGCCCAGAGCAGCTGTGGCTGCCCCTGGATCCCTGGCAGTGCCCAAGGCCAGGCTGGACAGGGCTGGGAGCAGCCATGGCAGGGCCTGGAGTGAGATGAGCCTTGAGGTCCTTTTCCACCCAGACCATTCCCCGATTCTGTGATGGTGATTCTGCTCTGGTTGTGGCTCCAGCTGCAGAGCCAGGCTCAGGAACAGCCACCCTGGTGCAGTTTGTTTGCAGCTGAAGAGAAATGAGGGGCAGTGACCCCACAGTTATGTGCTTGTTTCAGGCTGGTATCTTGTGAATGGGAAGGAGGGTTCCTGCCCAGTCAGCTTCCAAATACTGCCCCCATGGCTATTTCAAGTTTAGAGCATAAGGGACTATTTTTCACTCATGCTAATTCCATAGGCTCCTCTAAAACCTCCAAAGAACTCAGGCTGTGCATTGGGAGCTGTGGGGTTGCTCTGAGGGATCCATTTCAAACACTTTCACCTGTCTGCACTGTTTGTCCAGGAGCATGAATGGACAGACCTCCATTGAGAAATATTCTGATATTTTTATTTCGCCAATGGAGGGGTGAGTTATAAAAAACCATCACTTGCTGGGTTGGAGCTGAGTTGTCAAGCCCTCCCAGAGACAGCAGTGCAGCTATTAAGTGATCTATGGCAGCTGCCTTTAGGGCTGCTTTTTGAGCTTTGTAGGGATGGAATAAATAATGACAAACTTAATTTTTAGCTTCTTTGGGGGTATTTCATGGATTCAGCAGATCCATGTTGAGAGCAGTTGCTGGCTGGGATTGGAGTGTTTACTCCCTGGTATCAGGAGCTGCTGTCTCAGAATGATCTCACTTTGCAAACCACATCAATCCAACCTCAGGAGCTGTAGGGTCAGGTCTTGTAGCTTCCAGCTGGTGACATTGCCAAGCCCTGCATGTCTTTTGCATGTCCTTGGAGAATTTTGGGTACTCCAGGCAACATGGATTGCACACACCTCTTGATATTCCACTCTAGAAATGTGAGGCTTCCCCTTCTGGCTCTTTTCTTACTCATGGTTTCATTTGAAATGTGATTAAAATGGTTCAGTCTCAAACCTGCAATATTTTCAGAGCTTTACATATAAAAGAATCCTTGGGCAGTAACAATATTAATTAGCACCAAATTCACTTTGGCTTTACATGATGAACTTGAGTTTAGGAACCTAAAGGAGTTTGCCTGGGAGATGCAGTGAGCACCCAAACATCAGGAACAGAGCAGCCAAAAAAAGTGTGTTGAGCTAATGATGATGATGTTTTTTCCATGAACTATTTTCCCATTTATTTTTGCACAGGCTGAATGAAGTTTTTGTTTTAAGAGTGCATTCCACTTCACTTTTTAAAATTTACTCTTTTTTTTTCTACCAATTACCTCAGAACTGTTAGTTGTCAGTGAAGCAACACTGAAGTGAGGCTCCTTCTTGTGGGACAGAGAGAAAGATGTTGGATGTTTTGGCCT